GGGGGGGGGGGGGGGGGGGATTGGAGAGAAATAAACTATTGCAAGTTCATCTAAAATAAAAACTAAAATGGGTGGTAGAATTAAAAGGATATTAGGCAAGCAGTTAAGTGGCTCCTTCCATTTGCTGGGAAGTATGTGTATCATTCAATAGGATGATATGCGATAAACATCATCCAATCCAGCTTGTCAAAAAGGAAAAAAAAAAGATAAATAGATAAGCGCATCTTTGAATGTTTCCTTCTATGGGCAGCCTCTCAATCGGATTACATATTTTAAATATCTTGAACTGCTTATCCTTCATCTCTCTTTTATGATCTTTTCCTTTTATCAACTTGGGTCAAAAGTTGAAGTGGTAGAGTGAAAGATGGTTCATTTTCCTATTTATATAATAGTTCTCATAGAGGGTGATTGTTTAGTATCACAGGTGGTGCCACTTTTTGTGCGGTTGCATCTCTCAGATTGATGGGATTAATTGAAGATGATATATTATCAAAGAATGTATCCTCTTGTTTCATAAACGTGCCCTTGCTTCTAGACTGGTGCCTACAGGTAAAATTTCATTGAATACTGTATGAAGTTCTTATATTGCTCTGCTACATATGCTTTTCAGTATTCCTCCAAAGATTAAACGTATATGATTTAAAGATATCAGATTACAAACAGTAAAGAAAGTGTAATGTAGCACAAAGTAAGGAAGTAGGAAAAAAGAACTCCGGCAGTGATGACTATTTGTCAAATTCAATCCTTTGACGGAGAAATTGTCCATACCATCTTTCTGTCTTGCATTTGGTGTAACTCAATGTTGCTTCTTGTAGAGACAGGCAGCCACTGATGGTGGATTCCAAGGTAGACTAAACAAGGCTACTGACACCTGTTATGCTTTCTGGTGAGTTTGAATTGCTTTATCTTCAATAGATATTATTTTTATTTCTTCTGGCCTGACAAGTTGATATCCTTGATTAGGGTGGGAGGAGTTCTAAAGATCTTAGGGGCTCACAAGTTCATCGACCATGAAGGCTTACGTAAATTTCTTTTCACCTGTCAATCCCAGGTGCTACGGCTTCTCCTCTTTCTTTTATCTCATCTATGATTGCTTGAACATTAGCACCGACTTTTTTCAGCTTGCTAAAATTCAAACCTTTTTTTTGTTGTTGTTCTACAGTATGGTGGTTTTGGCAAGACTCCGGAGCAGCTGCCAGATCTTTATCATGCCTATTATGGATTTTGTGCATTTAGTCTGTTAGAGGAACCCGACCTCAATTCAATCTGCACTGAACTGGGTACAACAATTGGACCTGTGCAGCTGCTATGAATCTCGCCTTGCGCTCACGATCACAATGATTTTCAAGGCCCAGGTACAATTAAGTTGCTTCGAGATAGAAGTATTGATACTTTTTATCTATTTCTTTTAGTCTTTTCTGTGTATTATTAAGCTATAGCATATTTGATTCAAGATGTTTTTTGGCATTGATGATACAGCTTTATTTTCACCTTGTTTTGTTCATTACCTTTGAAAGTGATCACCTAATTATCGTAGCATTTTTAACATTCTGCTCCGAGATGTTAATGATAGTGGCTTTGTCACAAGTAGTCGCCTATCTAATAATTGATTTGTCTAGTGGTAAGAGCGTACCGCGTGATATGTGGGTTAAGTGCATGTCACGGATTCGGATCCTGCCAACAAAAGCTTAGTATTTAAGTGGAGGATAGTAAGTGGACTCATTATCCACCAAGTTTTCAACCTTGCACAATTGGCCTTGGGGATCTCTTGGTTATCCAAAAAAAAAAACTTGAATTTGATCATGTATCACAGAACGCACTTTGTGGGATTATACAAGGTATGTTGTTGTATCATGGGTTGTGGTGTAAATGGGTCCCGTGACCCCCTCCAGACCATGTGGGGCGGTGGTGACAAGTTTCGAACAGACGACCTCATGGGTGCAAAGTGGGGCTCACAATCATCAATCCGCAATCAAGTAAGGTCATTTAACTCATATGTAGGTTAATACATTAGTTCTATGAGTGATAAAATTTTCGGTCCTCGTTTGATAGAGTCCTCTCGTCTTCAAATCTTGGGTCCACGTTTGCATGTAAAGCCCATTTAAAGGAGAAAACATTTTTTATCGTAATATTTTCATTTTCAAGATAGGAATTTTAAGACTTCTGATCAAGGATGAGGGATGATAATGTTCATTCCACCGTAACCTTACTTATTTCCTTGCCCCTTTTTTTTTCAAGATGTCTATTTCATTTTTATTTGACACTATATAGTAATATTTTCATTTGTACTATATAATATAATAATATATTTTTAAAAAGGTTGTTAAAGGCAAATGGACCAAATGATTCTTTAAGGTGAATTTTACCTTTCGGCCTGCGACACGAGATATAATCACGGGCAAGTGTACATGTTTGTTCTTTACAGAAAATGCCAATTTTTCACCACTCTCCACAATTTATTATTTTCATCTCTCCTACTTTTGTCATTATGTTTTAGTTGGTACTTTATCTTTGGTCCAACTTTATATAATCACTAAAAATAAAAGGTACTTAAAGAAACAACAATTTGTTAATTCCAAATTTTGATACACATAGAGATGTGATTGAAAAGAGTCGAATTGATCACGCTTGATGATTGAAAAAAGAATAACAAAATTAGTATTTGATCGAAAAAAAAGTAAGGTTATAGACATCATAATCATCTATCTAAATCATTTCGTGTCAATGGGGCTTCAAACATTCAAAATATGTTGGGATTATTGAAAATGACATAGCATTCCTGGTGATAGTTATCACCTTTTATCATTAAATAGGGATGTTGAATTTGAGTTCAAAGAATGGAGATTATTTTGATAAAGAATGTTTTATCTGAGTTTGAACTCTAAAAATAGACTCTTTTCATGTGAATTTATTTGATGCAAATTCTTCATTAGAGACTCTTTCTATCTCATAGTGAATTTATTCGATGTAAATTTAAATTAGTCGGATTAATAGATTTCAGATGTTCATTGGTGAGTATTTAAAGGGGAAAAGGGTATTTATTTTAATTTTAAACTTTATTTACTAGAGGGGAAAATTTAAAAAGTGAAAAAGGAAGGCTTTTCTTTATCTCTTTGTCTGAGTTAGAAAAAAAATGAAAATGCATAAACCCAAAAAAATCAAGAAAGTGCTTTTGTGGTGGGTCAATCAATTTTCAAATGAAAATTATACATGTGTTAAAGAAAAGAAATTAGTGAAAGATCATTATGATTTAAGAGCATGCATAAAAAGATGGGGAAGTTTATGACTTGTAAATGAGATATTACACAAAGCAATATGGAAAGTAAAAAAACTTCAACCACAACCACAATATACCCATTATAATTCTACAAGTGGATCTGAATAGGATAAAATAGACTCTCGGCTCAAGAATAAGCAATTGGAACTAACAGTGTGAGTTTCATATTATGGTAACAACTCAACTCGGGGAAGGATCCGATCACATTGGATTTCATATACACAACTTTATCTTGCATTTCTATCCTAGTTTGTTTTCGCAACTTGAATTCGTGATAATTTGATTACATGAAAACTATTATATCTTATTTATTTATTTTCTTAGGTAGTGTTGTCATTATCTCCTTGAATGATTACAGGTGTATTTTGACAGAAATTGAATAGAAACAAACCAACCTCCTCCCCCACCCCCCACCCTCCACCAAATAACTACTTGCATAGTGGAATCTGGACATTATTTGCAGTGTGGCAGACTGCAAAGAATGTTGTTCCCCCTTTGAAAATTTCAGAAAACATTGCATTGTGACTTGGCTTTTATCATTAACTTTACCTTCAACTTCATTCAAGTATGATAACAGAACTTAACTCATTATAATGTTAAAGTATAAAATAAAAAATAAAAAATGGTCAACTTTTAAGTATCACTCGTTATGCTAACACTTTGTTATTCTCTAAAAATGATCGAAAGGTCAACTTTTGGGTATCAGATTATGACTTATCACTTGTTATGCTAACACTTTGTTACTCTCTAAAAATGACTAAAAGGTCAATTTTCGAGTATCTGGTTATGATAGATCATTCGTTATGCTAACATTTTGCTACACTCTAAAAATGATCGAAAGGTCAACTTTCGAATATCAGGTAATGATTCATCATTCGTTATTCTAATACTTTGTTACGCTCTAAAAATGTATCAGGTAATGATCGTTATACTAACACTTTGTTACACTCTAAAACAGATTGAAAGGTCAACTTTCGAGTATCAGGTTATGATTCATCATTAGTTATGCTAACGCTTCGTTACTCTTTAAAAATGACTAAAAGGTCAACTTTCAAGTATGGTTATGATTCACCAATCGTTTTGCTAACACTTTGTAACTCTCTAAATATCATGTCATGCAAAATAAAATTAAGAAATTCCACTAATATTGCACTATGACTAGGCTTTAAGTCATTAACTTCACCTCCAAAATCACCAAGATGATGCAAGCAAAATAAAGCTCTAAAACTCATACACTAATAAAACATGAAACAAAATTTACTCTTGTTGGTTCACCTGTTGGATTGGAGGTGAAGAAGCTAAAGGTAGTACTTGTGAAGAGCTTGATGAGTGTTGTACATGATGCTGATCATGTTGTACCTCTCTGTTCTTAGGGAAAATGAGTGTAATGAATGGACCACTATTCTCCTCATTATCTTTACACATCTTTGAACTTGATGAAACTTCAAGATTTTGATCAAATCTTCTACAAAACTTGTCTTCTGCATCCCTCAAGAATTGAAATGTTGGTGGAGGTGAAGAATTAGACCTTATAAACTTGTTAAACTCAGCATCACTTGCTGATTCAAGAAAAGGGTTGAAATTGAAACCATTTTTTGACATAACAATAGGACTTAAAGGTGGAGTAAAACAAGAAGGTGAAGCAAGTGGTGTTAAAAAAGGAGTTTCAACATTTAGACACAAATCACTCAAACTTCTAGTTCTTGATCCTTTTCTACTCTTGGATTTACCATCTTCAGACTCCAAATCCTCTTTAGTTTCCTCTTTGATAGTAAACAAAAATCTTGGTGGTCCACAAAGCGCCATAAACTCATTATCCATCGTATCATCTCCAAAGGGTTTGAACCAAAAATCACTACTTGAATCCATATTTGACCCAAGTTGAAGTTGTGTTGGTTCATGGACTAATTGTGTATCAGATGAACAAATTTCTTGGGATTTTAAAGCATTGGTGGGAGTCAAAGAAGTTGTTGAAGGCTTCCCACAAAACATATAACAAAACTCTCTTGCTTTGCTACTATTGCTATAACCATCTTCAAGATTTGTTTTAAGAATCCTATTTTTCCACCATAACAAGTAGTAGAGCTCAGCAATAAGAGCTAACAAAAGACAACCAAATACCACACTTAAAGCAAGTCCCACTGAGCTTAAAGATTTCATCTTTACATCTATTTGAACCAAAATCAAGAAACTTAAAAGATACAAAATAAAAATCCAATCTTTCACCTCAAAGATTTCATCTTTTTACATCTATTTGAACCAAAATCAAGAAACTTAAAAAGACACAAAATAAAAATCCAATCTTTACATCTATTTGAACAAAAAATCAAGAAACTAAAATGACACACAATAAAAATCCAATCTTTCACCTCAAAGATTTCATTTTTACATCTATTTGAACCAAAATCAAGAAACTAAAGACACAAAATAAAAATCCAATCTTTCACCTCAAGATCTTTGCTTTGAATCAAGAACTAGTTTAGAGAGAAAAAACAGATGGAGACAGCTAGTTTTCTTTAGTGAAACTATAGTGAAAGCAAGAAAACAAATTCAAACCAACAATTAAAGAAAATGACTAAAAAGCAAGAAAAGATTTTGCCTTTTTGCTGATCATCAACTTATTGAATGATGATATATACATGTTATAGAGAAAAACAACAAAGGTTTATTACTAAAACACCCATGGAATCTAAGTAAGCAGATGTGGACACTCATTAACTTATTTTTCTAATTAGAGAACTAATAAAGGTGATTTAGGGTGTTTATTTAATTAGTTTTTATATTAACTTAAATCTTAACTAAAGAATCGACTAGAGGGTTACTCAAATGGTAAGCACTCTCCATTTGAGTGATCTTTGGACTAGTTTGCGCGCATCTAAATTGTTCTACAAAATATATATACTACCTCATATATCTGAACAACATCAAATAACTTTTTATCTTTATCGCCAAAAATTAGATAAATTAAAAAGATTACCTAATATTTCTTTATCTCTATTATAATTTTGAACTCCAATCTCCCATAACTATCACTTACTTCATTAATCATTATCTCACCTTCATTTAATTCAAATGAGTAATAAAGTGAGGATTGGAGAGAGGGTAGGAAAAAAAGTAGGTAAAAACCATTGTCTAGTTTCTCTTTTTTTTGGTACAATTTGAGAAAATTTTGTCTAATTTATACTTTATAATAGTAATAAAGGTCACATCTCTCTAGAGATGTTCACATGAGCTCACTTAGAAAAGTGTCCTATCTTTCATCAATAGTCTCTCTTTCTTCCCCTTTCCTTTTGCCATTTTGTTTACCCCTCCTTTTCCTTATCCTTCTTTCTTTGTTTTCTTTTGTTTTTCGCTCGATATATGTTTTGAAATTCAATTAATTTAAATTTATATTGAAAATTTTTGCTTTAAAGGTAAAACGATTGCCGTTAAAGATGATTTCATTCTCAACTCAAAATCGAAACTTTTAATAAGAATGGAGAAATACTTATACTCACGCCACACTTTTAATTGGGAGTAGCTATTCTAGTTCATTTACCTAGTGTTTGAAAAAAATGATGAGGTTAAGTTATAGGCAAGAATGCTAGGGTTTTTGACAAATGTTCAACTTGTATAGCAAATATAACATATACTATACTTGAAAATTTAAAAATGGGGTAGAGAAGGATGATAATAGTAAAGTGGGGAACAATGTTTTCTTTATTGGGTTCTATCTAAAAGGGAATTTACAAGAATATACATATCTTGTATATGTGAGGATAGTTTTATCATTAAAAAAAAAAAATTAACGAAGAACAAAATTTGTCATCAACCTATAATACTGTTGCAAGTTAATTAGCTATGAAATGTTATCCATCTCTAACTTTAATTAACTCAAACGTAGCTCCCTTCTTCTTCTTCTTTTCGTGGGACATGCCTTGAAAATATACCGTTATTAATTATATACTTTCATTGAAATAACTCAATATCACGAATTATCTGTTTCTTTCAAAGAATAATTCACCTAAATAGTTGCTCGATCGATCACCTAATTGCTTAGACTAAAAAAAATAACAAATATATAATATAGGTATGATATATATTTAGTCAAGAATCTATGTATATCGATTAGGAAAAATAAACGGTCAATTATTTGGGTAAAAACCCTATTTCTAAATCTACTAGACCTAACATAAACTACTTTTGGTAGGGGTCTTTTACTTAAGTGTTGCACCATTTATAACACTCATTAAAATGGGACATATAATCCAGCTGTTTTTCATTCCTATTTATACCTTATTTTGTTCGATATTTATATCCAGACTCGATTAAATTTAAATTCGTATATTGTAAGGTTCATTTTTCAAGATAACGCTTTCAACAACAAAAAAGAATCATTTCTGAAAAATTCAAATTCACGACTTTTAATCTAAAATATAGAGATCTCAATCATCTTACCACGACTCATTTCACGTGCACTAACCTTTCAACTTTCAACCTCCACAGTTAAAAATATAAAGATTTCAATCATCTTAATACGACTCATATCGATGCTTATTTTGTTTGCATATGCATGACATTGGCTTATGAACAACATTTTCACGTGCACTAACCTTTCAACTTTCAACCCCAACAATACGTTTTAATTTATACTTTAATTGGCCTTTGTTTTAGTTTCAATTTGGTTAGCCTAAAATGTTCATACTTTTTATTATGACATAGATTAATTAATATCATGTTTATGCCGATGTAATAATTCAAGGAAAGTTTTCGACCGCCATCTTGTTGTCTATTTATTCTTAGAACCTATTGATTTGATTTTATATAAGCGGGATCAAGCATGTTGTCCTTAGAATCAAAATCAATGTATAAACTTTTAACTAGAAAAAATCCATTAAGATACCTATTCGGAAGTTTTCGCAACTCAATCCTAATAGATGAAATCATCAAAAAATTGTCATTTTCAAAAAAATTCTCTAACTCACTTGACGAGTAAAATTCACAAACAATCACTTTATAGCCATCGTTGTAGAATTTTGAATCACACAAAAGAAAAAATATGCAATTACTTACTATTTAAAAAAAATATATAATCGAAAAGTGGCTAGTGACCGCTATTTCCGAGTATAAATAGACTTGGATGGGGCTTTAGTTTGGGCCCTCTTATATCATTTTTGTAAGACATCCTCTTAATCAAGGGTCATTTACACTTTTGTCCTTATTTATATTGGTTTTTAATTTATACCCCTCGTTATAAGTTTATGTTTTCGTATTATAGTATCTCATAAGTTATAATCAGACGTGACTTCAGTTTTTAAAGAGCGTATGTCTCACTAAGCTAGCTTATTTAAAGAGTAAAAATTAAAGATTAATCCATTTGAAAGACAAGACGTGCGATTTTTTCAAGAAGTGTGTAAGTGGAGGAATCCAATGATTTTGACAAAAAAAAAGGATAAGAAGAAGTTTGTGGGGAACAAAGTGGGGAACAAAGTGGGCCTTTAATAAAAGTCTTATCAATAATCAGACCCACATATGTCAATTTCATCAAAATGGGCCTTCAATTTTGTCTTATCATTGATATGGGCCTCATATGTAATAGGCTTATCACCAGGGCCAGGAATCTTGATGGGCCCAGAGTTTTATGTGTGCATATTTGCACTAATAGTGCACAAATAGCCAATTTGAGGATTCTTATTTAAAGCATAATCAAATTCATGAATTTTCGTAAATCTATTCATTTTAGAATTAACAATGTTTTGTCAAAATTAAATTTCAGACAAAATAATTGAAGTTTTTGTATAAATTTTACTCAAATATCTGAAGTTGGTTATAACACCCTTTTTTTTTACGACTTCAAATCTTGATCGAACCCTTCTCAAATCAACACAAAAGGCCCCCAAGTAGTTAGCTTCACTCAACTAGTTTGACTGGATACAAAAAAATTTAAAAACGAAGAAAAAAGAGAGGACCTAGCTCAACTTTTTAATTTTTTTTAATTATTTCTTTAAATTAAGGAAACTCAAAAGAAGAGAAATGGAATCATTTATGCAACAATATACTAAAAGAATATAGACACTTTAATTTTGGGTCACATATGGTCCAAGTTTAATATAGTATGGTCCTTTGCATCTTAGTCTATTTCTAAATATGATGAATTCACTTTCCTTAGGTTAGGTATACCACAAGAAAGAGAATTTCTTTATTTGTAATCAGCGATTTTGAATTTGAGTCTTTAAAAATGAGAAAATCTTTTTTGGAGCTTCGCCCTTCATAATAGACCATGCAATATGCAAATTCAAATTATTGAATCACAATATAATATTAAATACTGAATGAAAAATCAAAAAGAAAAAAAATATACAAGAAAGTGTTGATTACAATATTAGAATATGTTTATTAACGATAAACATAAATTTCATTGAAGGCGTTCAATTTAATACATAAAGTAATTTTTGATGTATATATACCATATATTTTTGTATATGTTTCATATAATTTTTCGATGGAGAATATGTTCAATTAATCACTCTTTATTTTATGTGGCTACATTACTCACGAGTGTATTTATTGCACCAAAACATAGAAGTTTAAAAAAAAAAGCTTCATTTTATAACTTTAAAGAGTGGTGTGTATAAATCAGAGAGTGATCAAAAGTTTTCTTGACACATATTGCTCGTATATTGTTAAATTTTATAGATAATATATTAAATTATTGATCGTCTAACATTTGTTATTACTTATAAAATTTAAAATTATGTTATTAATATTTTCTTACAAGTTTTTAAATTTATTTAAAAGGAATTCTTAAATCATAATCTAAAAGATTTTTAAGTTGCGAGAGAAACAAATAAAATAATCATATGCTAAACAAATAAGAGATAAATTAGAGAAATTTCACTGATGAATTAATATGAACTTGAATATAATATCATGATACAAAAACAAATATATTAAGTCTAATTCAACTCTGAGAATTATGTGGATCACTTAAAATCATATCAAAAGATTAATTTTCTATCTCCACTTAACGTGAAACTTCAACAATAAATAGAAACAACAAATTTCAAATTTAATCAAGTAGATTAAATATAGTAAAAATTCTCAATGAAAATATATAAAGTTAAAATCTTGAATCTGTTTTCCTATCAAGGTGGCAACCTCTTGATTATACCATCAAGATGTAGTAGATGAGATTACTAGATGTCTTGAGTTCAAGTTCAAGATAGAATTTTATTTTTTTTTGATAGAAAACACTTTTATCATATGAGCCCTATCCTACGCAAATTTAAATTAGTCAACTCTAATACAAAATTACAAATATTGGAGCTCGAGTGAAAAAAAAATAATATGTAGGACCACTCTAATGTTCTACATTATTATGTTTTCAATCTGTTAATAACAATTGAAAAAAAAAAAACTCCTCAAATCCAATCTCATCCACAAAATTTGCCTTTGCACTGCTCTCCATAATCTCAATCTTCAATCTCCTCTAACTCACTATAAAGTTGTTTATGGCTTCAGCTTCTCCTTCTCAAGCTAGTCTTCTACTTCAGAAACAGCTCAAAGGTATTGAGTTTTTTGCCACTCTTTTTGTTACTCAACTCAAAGGGTGTTTTAGATTTTTGTTGTTTCCTTTAATTTGAATGTAAAGATCCTTGCTTTTTCATAATTTTGTACTCATAATTCATTATATGGACTGTTTGCTTAATTGGGTGTTCTTGATTTTTGTTGTTTACTTTAATTTGTATGTAAAGATCTTTGCTTTTTCATATTTTTGTACTCATAATTCATTATATTGACTGTTTGCTTAATTGGGTGTTCTTGATTCTTATTGTTGAGATCCTTGCTTTTTCTTCATTTTGCGCTCATATTCATTTTATGGACTGTTTACTTAATTGGGTGTTCTTGATTCTTATTGGTTTCTTTAATTTGAATGTAAAGATCCTTGCTTTTTCTTGTGTTTTGTACTTATTCATTCTATGGACTGTTTGCTTAATTGGGTGTTCTTGATTTTTGTTGTTTCCTTTCATTTGAATGTAAAGATCCTTGTTACTTCAGAAACAACTCCAATGTATGATTTTTTTTCTCCTTTATTTTGGTACTTGTATTTCATTCTATGGACTGTTTGCTTAATTGGGTGTTTGTAATTATTATTGTTTCATTTTCAGATCTCTGTAAAAAACCAGTTGATGGATTTTCAGCTGGTTTGGTTGATGAAAGCAACTTATTCGAATGGAGTGTCACCATTATTGGACCCCCAGAAACTTTATAGTGAGTCTTTACTTGTATTAGTTTAAAGATCTTTTTTTCTTTTGATTTGATGTTAAAGTTCTTTGGTTTTTTCAATTTGTTTGGTTGCTGATGGATTTTTGTCTTTGATTTGATGTATGTTTGATTGAATAAGTTTGTGTTTTCTTATACGTTTATGAAAAATTTGGGTCTTGAATTGTTTTCTGCTTCAGTGGATGCTGTAATTCTAATAAAAACACCATGGTGTAAGGTCTGATAAGTTTTGTGAGTTATAGTAGGGCTTAATGTACAGGAGAAGTTGTAATTTTGCGCCTAGGGTATAGCGTTTTTATGTTGCTCGGTTCTGGAGCTTTGGATTAGATACAGTTTTTTTAATTAATATCAGATACAGTTTTTATGTGTTAATATTTAGAAACTTATTCAGTATGGTGATGAAATGAAATGAGCTAAAATGAAGAAGTGGGGATTCATAAAGCCGACCCCGACTTATTTGGGATTGAGGCGTAGTTGTTTTTGTAATGTTTAGGACCTTGCGTCCAACTTTTCCCAAGGGTGAACTCTCTATCGATCATTAGAAACTTATTTAGTGTGATGACGAAATGAAATGAGCTTAAATGAAGAAGTGGGTATTCATATAGCCAACCCTGACCTGTTTGATTGAGGCGTAGTTGTTGTAATGTTTAGAACCTTGCGTCCAACTTTTCCCGATGGTGAACTCTCTATCAGCTGTGTTCCTCTTCACCTGAAAGTTTTCTGTGAAATAAAAATCAATAAATCTAGGTGCCACTAACTTTGCACATTACCCTGTCTCTGGTTTTTAATCATATTCATCGACTTTTTCCCCGTCCAAAGATTCCGATAACCTTTTATTACTCTTTCATCTGTGTTTGATGCAACTCTTATTGTTCGCCTCACCCATTCTTGCTATTTGCTAAGAAGCATCGTACACAGGTAGGTAGATATAGAATACTTAGGGGCACGAGACTCTCTTCAAGGAACTCGGCATAATAGCTGTCTAATTTCAGGAGAAGGGGTGTCTCCTCAGAAAGGGGGTTGGAGTGACCAGGCCCAACTGTTTAAACAGAAACTCATGCTCATTCTTGGTTGACTTTGCAGCTTAGCAATCGTTATGCATATTTCCCTTTAGGTAGTTTTTGTTGTTTAAGTTGATGACTTTAGTTAAGAGTACATATTTCGTCATTTCCAATGTTTACTTATGCATTAGGTTGGGTTGGAAAAAAAAAATCCTAACTTTGTGTAATTGTTGCAACTGCAGTGAGGGGGGTTTCTTTAATGCTATCATGAGCTTTCCTCAAAATTATCCCAACAGTCCGCCTACGGTTAAATTTACCTCAGAGGTTTGGCATCCTAATGGTACGTAAGCTACACATATATTTCGGAGAATTAGTGAAGTGATTGATCTTCAGTACCATCATCGTCTCATTATTTTTGGCTCTATCGCGAAATTCTGGTTCGATATACAGTTTACTCTGATGGAAAGGTCTGCATCTCAATTCTTCACCCCCCTGGTGATGATCCAAATGGTTACGAGCTTGCTAGTGAGCGTTGGTCTCCCGTCCATACGGTATGGAAACCTGTTATTATTTCAATTACCAAAGAAAATAATCTTGAGCTATGTTGCTTTGACTCTCCAAAATATTGTCGCAACTTGCACCCGTATCGGATTCTTTTAAAAAACACTACTTTTGGGAGGATCCGACACTCACCTAGCGGTACTTTTGAAGAGTCCGGGCAACATAGATCTTGAGGACCTAGGATCTCAATTTCTGCGATATTATTTTGTACTATATGGCTGGTCTTCTCTTCTATGATACTGCATTTAATTTTCAACTATCTCGAAACTTCTGGTACTTCTCCAATTCAGAATCTCATGGAATTTTGGATCACCTCGTCTTTAAGTCCATATTTTGAAGTAACAGCATGTTCATTGTCTTCTTTCTATGTATGTACACGAAATAAATGTTTCCGCCTTCTTTTCCTTTTTATTAGTAAAATAGGTAAACTTATCTCGTGGTTCAGCTCACTTTACGGGAGTGAAGATCTATGGTAATATTAGTGTAGATCTATAGTAGCAATTCCAAAAGTGACTGGTGTCCAACAACTAGAAAAATATCCACTTACTAGTACAAGTTGGACAACTTTTTTTGAAATTGAAAACAACAATGTATTGGTTTAAACTTGACTTTAACTATCTCAACATCTGTGTCAAAATTGGAATATAGGTCAATAAATTAATCACTAGTTACATCATAGGAGTGATTCCTCCTATTTTCATATAACGTTTGGTAATATTGTAACTGGAAGACCACTGCCATACCGACCTGTTTTCTTTCCTCTTATTTGTAAAATATCTTCTGTGAAACCATACGTGATTCAACCCGAGGATAATTCTAAAGAGACACTTTTTGCCAGGTTTGACTATATCTGACCTATCCAACAGCTCATGAGTTGTGCTATTTGATGCGATTCAGTTAGCACACCTTTTTATTTCTAACTCATCCACAAAGGTTTTATAGTTGGCTAGACAACTTGGTCTATTTCTTTTAACAAACTAGACATAAGAATCAGATTAATTCTGTAAAATAATTTGTTGTTTTCACTTTTTTCGTAGCTCAGAACTCTTTTTTACCTATTATTTGAGCCTAAAGGCTGCATCGCTTTGTTTCATTCGTCACTTCGCCACTTCGCCACATAACTCGCATGTGAACTAAACATGCTTTTTTGTGTTACATCGGGAAGTGGAGGTGGATGGGAAGGGGATCCTACACACACCTCAATTGTGGAAGGCGGGGAAGTTCACCGAGTGAGCTAACCTTCAACCCCTTATGTTTTTGAATGGTTGTCACTGAGGGGCTAATAGGCACATTTGGAACATACATTAGGTGTCTAATTGGAAACAATCTCATTTGAGGTGTCTAAATGAATATACGGGGAAACTTTAGGCGACTTCCATGTATTTGGCCTTTTCCTATTGTGGTGGGCATTTAGAATCTTGTTTCTTTCAGAAATTCCTTCTTTGATGTTGTATACCTTTAACATCTCTCTATATGGGTATATGATGATCCCCTCTTTTAAATGGGTGTGTCTTGATATGGGAAATTACATTTGATAGTGTCGCATGGATCAAATAGGAAAGCGATGCAATTCACGAGCTTTTGATAACTATTACCTTGTTTGCTTCTCTTCCTTACACTTCCGTGTTCGATGGTGTTTCTCTTATGATTGTTGCTCCTGATTGTTCGGTGTTCATTTGTTGTATGTTATTTTTCCTTCAAACACACTTCTTCTCTATGATAAAAATTTGACTGGCTATACGATATGCAGGTGGAGAGCATAATGTTGAGCATCATATCAATGCTTTCAAGTCCTAATGATGAGTCTCCAGCTAATGTCGAAGCAGCTGTAAGTAATCCAATTTATGGACTTTTTTTCCCCACTTATTCCCTCTGAACTGCGCTGTGTTGCGTCCTCCTGGTGTGGGTATAACTTCCGAGATTCACCTTACCATATGGGGTCAAAAGGCCAAAATGAGTGATTTTAGTCCTTAGAAAAGGAAATTTGATTCTTGAACCCCTTTTAACGTCATGTCACATCGAGGTACTGAAGGGAAAAAACAACAAAATTCAATCCAATTTACCATTAATTGATTGGTTAACCGTACTCTGAAACCATCTCTTCGGGAATTGTGAAAGATGTTCTACTTGAAATATTCTTGTTATTGCTTCGACTCATATTCCCCCGAAAGTGGATTATGCTCTAATAGCTCCAAATGAACTTACAATGTTTCCCTTTTCAACTCTAAGGATGGATAGATCTCGTGCCACGAATTTACACGAGAATTTGTCCGATGCCAAATCCTAATTCTGCTGTTATCACCTTCTAACGCCTTCTTTTATACGTCTCTTTCTGGCATATTGCAGAAGGAATGGAGAGACAACAGAGATGAATTCAAGAAAAAGGTTAGTCGTTGTGTAAGACGGTCCCAAGAAATGACGTAAAACTAACTTCTTTCGTCATCAGCTGTCGATTGATACAAATGTAGAATTGCTTGTCAAGGTCATACCTCTCTGTATTATTATGCCTTTTCGTTCCGCGAATTCGGTCATTGTTTTGCATTTTTTGTTATAACCTAAGTTTTGAGGTTCATTATTTCATAGCTCTAAAGATGTTTACTGCTGGTCTCACATTGTCTGTATTTTCCTTTGTAGTCTAGTAGATGTTAATGTACATCTCAGAAATGAGCGAAATGAATCTTTCTTATACTTCGATTATCATATTAATTTGTTGTAGTTATTGTTTCACTTCCGTTTATTCTTTTTTTTGGGACTTTTTTCCGTCGAGTTGAGGGTCTACTAGAAATAACCTCTCCACTTAGACCTTACCCTTCCTTGACTTCATTTTGTGGGATTATACTTAGGTATGTCGTTGAAAATTTGACTCATTGTTAAAGGTTTCACCAGAAATTAGCGATTTGTTTTCGTGGTGTGTAATAAACATTAGCAGACATTGCATATTTTCGTGATGTGAAATATTTTTCGTGTCAGCTTATATAAAGAGGACTTATATTGTTCGGACTCTTCAAAAATAGCCAATTTGGGATCATTGTACTTTTGATGTTCTTTAATTTATGCCCCATATAACTAACCATTTTCTTGTGAGGCATAAGTTTATATTTTTGTATTATAATATTCCACAAGTTATGCTTAGGTTGTCAGGCATCATTTCAATTTTTAAAGAACGTATGTCCCACTAGACATAACTTCGATTGCTAAAAAGCAAAAAATAAAGATCAATCAATTTGAAAAGCAAAACGTGCCCCCACCGATGTCAATTTCATCAAATGGGCCTTTAATGTTGTCTTATCATTGATATGGGCCACATAGGTAATGGGCTTGTTACCATTTTTAAAGGCTCATAGCTTTATGTGTGTATATTTGCACTATATGTCATTTTCCAGGGGAAAGTGCATAAATAGCCAATTTGAGGATTCTTATTTAAAGCATAACCAAAATTTATGAATTTTTAAAGTCTATAGAATTAACTTCAAAGATATAGGTAAATCAAATTTTAGACAAAATAATCGAAGTTTTTGTATAAATTTTACTTAAATATCTGAAGCTGGTCACAACGATCCTCATTTATGCAACAATATACTAAAAGAATATACACTTTAATTTTGGGTCACATATAATAGAGAGTAATATGGTTCTTTGCATCTTAGTATATTTTTTAATATGATTCACCTTAATTTTTTTAGGTATACAAAAAAAGAATAACATCGGTTGTGATGAGATGATCGAAATTTTTTTTTTTTAATCAAAGGTTTTGAATTTGAGCTTTTAAAAATGAAAAAAAAAAAACCTTTTGGGAGCAGCTTCATCGTCAATAATGGGTTATGTAGTACACAAATTCAAATTTACTTGAACCACAATATGATATCGGACATCGAATGAAAAATCAGAAAGAAAAAATGGTATACAAGAAAGAACTTATTGCAATATCGGAATATATTTCTTAGTGACAAAACCATAAATTTTATTAGAGATGGTCCATTTAGTATATCATAAATTAATTTTTGACGTATATATAGTTATATACCATACATTTTCTTATATGTTTCATATAATTTTTCAATAGATAATGTGTTTAACTAGCCATGATATGTTACTGACAAATGAATTATTGCATCAGAATATATAAGTTAAATTTTAAAATATCTTCATTTTATAATTTTTAAAGAGTGGAATAAAGGCAATGTTCTAACATAAAGGTGCATATTTATATGACACATGAAGATAGCAAGAATTTGGTTCTTTGGACCATCCTATTTTACGGCTATTGTACGTGACGATGAATTCAAAATTTACTTTTAAGATTTTACTGCTGAACTCGTTATATTCGTAATTATCGTGAGTTTATGACTTATCATGTTCTTTTTAACTTTTAATAAAATCTCACATGTATATATATCTATATATGATCTATATCAAATATCGAATCAAGTTTAACCATTAACTATATGCTCCATCCGCCTCTAGTCATGCACGTTTCAATACCGGCAATGTTAAAATAAAAATATGAATTTTAATAAATATCTTTATTAAGAAAACCATCTAAAAGATTTTAAACATTTTGATTGGAGTTTTTCTCTATTTTTTAATAAATAATGCGTTTGAATTGAAATTTGAAACTAATTGAAATGATGTAAAGGGGTTTTTATTATTTATTTTCTTTTTTGTTTTTTAGCTTTTGAACTATCGAGACTTATCTTAATATAGTAACTTAAACACATTAAAAAATGTTGATTATGGTGGTCCTAAATACCAATTAAAGATATATACATTATCTCTAATCCTTTTTAACGTGACGTGTACATCAATTTTCATATTTTGATTATTCTATTGAATAATTGTTATAAATATCTTTAGCATTATCACTTAAAAATATAAAAGACGATTCAAAAGGCTAAGACTCACTTAGATGAAGATAGGCCATAAAATAGTTAAGAGGTAGCTTGTTTCAAGTTCACTCGACTACGATGAATTAAAATATTTTTATTGGTGCTAATTTGGATTTCGGGAGATGGAATAACATTTAAAATTTAAATTCAATTATAATTTCAGAATTTATAATTTTGAACCTCGAGTATGATAAAATATTTGGTAAGGAGCACTTATGTATTGAGGAATTTCATATTTAACTTGAGAATGATTAAAAAATAAGATAGACTTGACTATGATAGTATGATATCAAAATAAATATCATGTCTAACCAAAACTATGAGAATCACTCAAAATTATAATAAAGAATTAATTTTCTATATTTACATCGAACCCGACGCATAACTTTTCAACAATAAACACAAATAATAAATTCCAAAGTTAGTTAAGTAGATTAAATATAATAATAAATCTCAATCAAAATATATAAAGTTAAAATCTTGAATCCGTCTCTTTACACATATAGCAATCTCTTGATCATACAACCAAAATATTTAATGCAACGAATGAGATTACTTCTTAATCTGAAGTCTCAATTTCAAGCTTTGATATAATAAAATATTTAATAGGTAACATTTCTATATTAAGGAATTTCACATTCAACTCGAGAATAATTAAGAATTAAGATAGACTAAACTATGATATTATGAATGCAAAAACAAATAACAAGTCTAACCAAAACTAGGAATATCACTCAACAATAAATTTCAAATTCAATTAAGTAGATGAAGTTAAAATTTTAAATTCGTCTCTACACAAATAACAATCTCTTGATCATACTACCAAAAAATTTAGTGCAACAAATAAGATTATCTTTTAATCACAAGTCTTAATTTCGAATATTCTATAACATATTTGATAGAAGCACTTTTGTAGTGAGGGATTTCATATTTAACTCAAAGAACTAAAGATATTTAAGCCTCCCTTGCAGCCTTTCTTTGTTTGGTCTAAAAGAGTACTTATTTGACTTCTAAATTGAAACCTCTGCAGGGATTTGAATAGTTTGTATAAATCTACTGATTCTGTTTTTTGATTTCTTTGCCAAGAATCTCTCTGAAGTATAATGGCTTCAGCTTCTCAAGCTAGTCTCCTACTTCAGAAACAACTCAAAGGTATGTTTTTTCTTTCTTACTCATAGTATTTTGTTGTTGTTCTTTTATTTGAATGTAAAGATCCTTGCTTTTTCATTTTTTGTTTGTTGATATTCATTCTATGAACTGTTTGCTTCATTGGGTGTTCTTGATTTGTGTTGTTTCCTTTAATTTGAATGTAAAGATCCTTGCTTTTTTTACTTTTTCTTGTATGCATATTCAAACTTGTTTATTTGGGTGTTCTTGATTTTTGTTGTTTCCTTCAATTTGAATGTAAAGATCCATGCTTTTTTGCTTTTTGTGTACTCATATCATTCTATGGACTGTTTGCTTGATTGGGGGTTCTTGATTTTTGTTGTTTCCTTTAATTTGAATGTAAAGATCCTTGCTTTTTTACTTTTTTCTTGTATGCATATTCAATCTATGGACTGTTTGCTTGATTGCGGGTTCTTGATTTTTGTTGTTTCCTTTAATTTGAATGTAAAGATCCTTGCTTTTTTGCTTTTTCTTGTATGCATATTCAATCTATGGACTGTTTGCTTGATTGGGGGTTCTTGATTTTTGTTGTTTCCTTTGATTTGAATGTAAAAATCCTTGCTTTTTTCACTTTTTGTGTATGCATATTCAATCTATGGACTGTTTGCTTAATTGGGTGTTCTTGATTTTTGTTGTTTTCTTTCATTTGAATGTAAAGATCTCCTTGCTTTATTACTTCTCCTTGTATTCATATGCACTCTATGGACTGTTTGCTTGATTGGGTGTTCTTGGTTTTTGTTGTTTCCTTCAATTTGAATGTAAAGATCCTTGCTTTTCACTTTTTCTGTACTCATAGGGAACGATCCATACTAGATCTGACCAACTGCCCGTCCTTCCTCCTCTACGTTCTTGATAGACCATCTTTACATTCTATGATCTGTTTGCTTAATTGGGTGTTCTCGATATTTGTTGTTTCCTTTTATTTGAATGTAAAGATCCTTGCTTTTTTGTTTTTTTGGTACTTACACTTCATTCTTTGGTCTGTTTGCTTAATTTGAAAGTGAAGATCATTGCTTTTTTTGGGAAGTCATATTCAGTTTATGGACTGTTTGCTTAATTGGGTGTTCTTTATTATTATCGTTTCCTTAAATTTGAGTGTAAAGATCCTTGCTTTTTCTAGTCATATTCATTCTGTGGACTCTTTGCTTAATTGGGTGTTGTTAAAGTTTGTTGTTTTCTTTAATTTGAATGTAAAGATCCTTGTTTTTTCCACTTTCAGATCTATGTAAAAAACCAGTTGATGGATTTTCAGCTGGTTTGGTTGATGAAATCAACTTATTTGAATGGAGTGTCACCATTATTGGACCGCCGGAAACTTTATAGTGAGTCTTCACTTGATTAGCTTAAAGATTTTTTTTCTCTTTTGATTTGATCTCTATTGAATAAGTTTGTGTTTTCTTATATGTTTATGAAAATTTGGCGCTTGTGATCTGTGCAGTAGGCTATAGTGTTTTTATGTTGCTCGGTTCTGGAGCTTTGAATTACTAATGAGCTTCTTATCAGATACATTTTTTATCTGGTAATATTTAGAAACTTATTTAGTATGATGATGAAATGAAATGAGCTTAAATGAAGAAGTGTGGATTCATAAGCCAACCTTGACTTGTTTGGGATTGAGGCGTAGTTTTTTCGTCGTTGTTGTTGTAATGTATAGAACCTTGCACCCAACTTTTC